CTCCCACTGATGACCCTGAAGGCAGATTGGAAGAAGGGCTGAACAGGATCTCAGAAAGGAAGGTTATCCAAATTAGCTCTCCTAAATAATTTGCTGTACTTCTCAACAGTAAGAGCAGGGCAGCAGTTGAGCTGGGAAAGGACTGAAGCTCAAAAGAGAGACAAGGCTTACGGACGCTGGCAAAGACAAATGTCAGGCTCAAACATAACAATTCACAGGAGCAACCACAAACCATCCCTCACACGTGTGCAACTGCAAGTAAGAGATAGAACCCTCCTGAAACCCACTTCAAGTATAGGTAACACAAACAGATTATACATCGGATAATACAACTGGATGTATATGGAAATGGTTGGGCATTACATGCAATGACCAGAAATGTGATTAATAATATGAATGCAATGGAGGGGAGGAAAGTCATAGAAATCTGACATCAAGCAAGAGCTGTGGGGGACAACAACTCTTAAAATTCCCCGGGCAACATGGCTAGTGACCATAGTATTTGTGAGATTCAGGGGTTAAACCCTTGTGCCGGCAGGACTGCTGACAAAAAGGTCAGCGGTTTGAATCTAAGGAACGGGGTGAGCTCCCGTCTGTCAGCTCCAGCTCCCCTTGCGGGGACATGAGAGAAGCCTCCCACAGGATGGGAAAACATGCGGGCATCCCCAGGGCAACGCCCTTGCAAACAGCCAATTCATAGAATCATAGACTCAAAGAGTTGGAAGAGACCTCATGGGCCATCCAGTCCAACCCCATTCTGCCAAGAAGCAGGAATATTGCATTCAAATCACCCCTGACAGATGACCATCCAGCCTCTGTTTAAAAGCTTCCAAAGGAGGAGCCTCCCCCACACTCCGGCGCAGAGAGTTCCACTGCTGAACAGCTCTCACAGCCAGGAAGTTCTTCCTCATGTTCAGATGGAATCTCCTCTCTTGTAGTTTGAAGCCATTGTTTCGCATCCTAGTCTCCAGGGAAGCAGGAAACAAGCTTCCTTCCTCCTCCCTGTGGCTTCCTCTCACATATTTATACATGGCTATCATATCTCCTCTCAGCCTTCTCTTCTTCAGGCTAAACATGCCCAGCTCCTTAAGCCGTTCCTCATAGGGCTTGTTCTCCAGACCCTTTATCATTTTAGTCACCCTCCTCTGGACACATTCCAGCTTGTCAATATCTCTCTTGAATTGTGGTGCCCAGAATTGGACACAATATTCCAGGTGTGGTCTAACCAAAGCAGAATAGAGGGGTAGCATTACTTCCCTAGATCTAGACACTATGCTCCCACACCAGAAGAGACTTGCAGTTTCTCAAGTCGCTCCTGACACACACAAAAAGGGCTTGCAATCCAAAAAGCAAACTTTTACAAGCTGAAATATAAAGTCTGATTATTGTTCACTTCAACTGGAAGAAGCTGAAATATTTTGTCCATTGCTTGCTAGCTGATTCTTTCAAATGAAGAAGTTGGGGCAGAACCTGGGATTTCCTGTTAAAATGCACTAAGCTTTGGTTCCTTTCTTAAAAGGTCTGCTTCCATCAATCACAATGTCAAGAAGAAGATGAATGAGTGTATTCCCCCATATTCACATGAGTGACAGGGAGGGCATAGCCCTCCATGAGACATCCTGTCAATTACATCATCATGATCCTGCTTGCAAGAGAGACAGTGCCACCTAATGACTGAGTAAAAGGTAGGCAAACAACTTAACCGGGAATGGAACAGAAGGAAACCCGCTCTAATAGATCCCGATTGTCAATGCCTGCAAAATGAGTTATCCACTCTAGTTCCTGTCACTGCTTATGTAACAGGCCCGCTTAGATTGCTAAGCCAGATGGCTTCTCACACATAACTACTTTTTTCCTGGGGCTGGATGTCAAGGTAACTGCAAGGGGAAAACTAAAGCATTTGATCAAGTAATTAAAGAGGCTAACACTGGTCCATAATATCCTTTTTAGACATTTCTCTGATACACACAAGCACATTCCCAAAAAACAAACAGTTACACAATATCCAGCCTACTTTTAAAATCATATCCAGTTATGATTTAAAATGACTTTGAAATGGACAATTCTCTCATCAAACGATCCTTCGGCAGAGCAGCTCCTTAAAGCTTAAATTTCCCGAGCAGAGGAAGGCTTTGTGTCTATACCCCCAAATGCCCCTGTCAGAAATATCATGAACCAGAAGGTGCTATCTAATTTGCAAATGTCATTTACATCATATGTCTGCCACAGGATCAAATTCACAAATCTGGAAAAATGCCAAGCTTACATCATTTAAGCCACAAACCTTTAGGGATGAAAACAGGCAAGGCAGAGGAAAGCTGAATATATAAAATACAAAAAACAATAAAGTTGGGAGAGGCTAAGATCCAAACATGAGCTTCTACACAGAACAAAGGTCCTCCTCACACAAAAAGGCAATTTTATGAAAACAGTTTAAGAATAATCTTCCCAAAAATAGCAGCCTCCTGATGAGTTGGACTACAATCCTCATTTAACATCCCGGCTGTGGTGACAGGCTTTGCAGTCCGAACATAGCTGAAGTTTAGGAAAAAAACAAAAAAAGATTTTGATAATCAATTCCCATTATGAAACCTTATTAATGCACACTAGCTTAAGATAAAAAAATCTATTTGTTATTATTTCTCAGAGTTTTATGTATTTATTAAAATTATGCCTGTTTATTCATTTGAAATATCAAATGTATCTTTTCATCTACTTATTATTAATTCTTTTTCATTGTTTCCTCAGCTACTCTGTATGGTTTAGAAGGACTATCTTGAAATCTTAACTTGAGTGGTGGGGAAAAATAATAAAGGTGTTGACTTTGCTTACTCTGACAGACTGTGCTCCCCTCTTTCCAAAAAAGAAAACACATCTCACATCATATCACGGTGAGATATGATGTGAGATGTGTTTTCCCAATGTGGGAGAAAAGTGGCATATAAATGAAGATTTATATTATTATTATTATTATTATTATTATTATTATTATTATTATTTGAAACACAACAAGATGAGTACTCAGGAAACAAGACCACTATGCTGGCTGTTGTATCAGATCACGTCAGACACTTCCCAAGTGTCTAGGACTGTGTGATGTATCGGCAAATAATACGTGCAGATCCCAGTAGGGTAGCCTTTTGCAGCTGACAGATGGTAATTTTGTCAGTGCCGATTGTGTTTAAGTGCAAGCCAAGGTCTTTAGGCACTGCACCCAGTGTGCCAATCACCACTGGGACCACCTTTACTGGCTTGTGCCAGAGCCTTTGCAGTTCGAGCTTTAAATCCCTGTATCATAACAGCCTTTTCAGTTGTTTCTATTCAATCCTGCTGTCATCTGGGATTGCTATTATTATTATTATTATTATTATTATTATTATTATTATTCTACCAAGGATTATAATGAATCCATTGCCTGAACATTTGGGACAAGGAGGCAGTCTTACTTGTGTGTCGGTATGCATGAGTGTGTGTTTTTTTCTTGTCCAATACTATTGTTCTTCCACTTTCTCTTCCTTTACCTCAGAGATGGAACTGCGTGGCTGGAACCCAGTGATACCCCTCAAAACATTGTTTATTAAATAAATGACACCAAAATGAAAATTTTCCAGCTGTAAATATTACTCCAAATGTATAATTTACCATTCTAACACTTCAGAAACAACACATCATTGCCCAAGAACTGACTCCTTGTTCAAAAAAATGGAAGTAGCACAGCCCACCAAATGTCAGGAAAAGCCAGAAATTGCCTTCCTACCCTTTCAGAACACTAGTGGTTCCCAACCTTTGGTCCTTCAGATGTTTTGGACTTCATCTCCCAGAAATCCCAGCCAGCATTCCAACCATTAGGTATTGTGGGAGCTGGAGTCCAAAACTCCTGGAGGACCAAGGGTTGGGAACCACTGCAGTACAGCCACCTTTACTTTTAGTCAGTATCATCACCTTCATTTTGTCCTTTACTTTTCATAGCATCATTTATATTACAGGAATCATATTATTTCTCCAAAATTATTTTGTATTCCCAACAATTTTACAGATCAGCATTACCTATATCACAGAAATGGGAAACAAATGGCCCTTCCAAAGCTACTCTAATGCATCATCAACCACACAAGCTAAAACTAATACAGGCTGTAGTCCAAGGTCTGGAGGGCCAAATATTCCCTATCCCTCATCTATTGTTACCATTCCTTCTATTGTGCAAAGCTCCTGCAAGGCCATTATTCAAATTTGTAAGAAGACGTGTTTGCTGTGTTTTCTAAGTATTATTCTGAGGCCTTATGTCTTTAGACTTTGAAATCCAGTTTCTTTTTTGGCAGTTACAATATGAAAAAGAAATAAAATATTCCCAAGAAATGCCAAGAAAAGAGGTATATAAGAATTGGACCACATGGTCACAAAGTCCAAGTGGGAGAGAGGTACAAAAATTAAAAACAGACTATCAGCTCAGCAGAAGCAAAAAGTATAGGATTTCATCAGAAGGAGGCAAGACTCAAAGGCCTGCTCTGGCTATGTTCAACATCAAACTAAATGTATTTCTGCAATTCAGAGACTTTCATTGCAGTTACAGGTTATTAATAACTCATTCACCCTTAAACAAATAGAGAGACAGACAGAGAAATTATTTTTGGCATACAAAGCCTCATTCACAAGTAGAGCTGCTCGCTACTTAAAACCGTTGAACTGGCCAACATTCTCCTCCCGAGAAATAATCTCTTGTGGTCTCATTTAAAGGGAATGGAGCATACCACCCAATCCCACCCTGTTTCCTAACTGCCAGACCCTGAAACACAAAGCATTATATTCAAGTATGGATTAGACTTGGAAATTAACTTTACTGTTTACATTTCTTCAACTCCAACTGGTTTCCTAGTGCTTTCTTATAGAAATAAATACAGAGAGACAGACACGGTAGCCACTAAAGTTCTTCTACATAAAGTAGCACAAGTTCTGAACATGAAAGTTAAGAGCTCAAGCGTTCTTCAGAAATGAAAGGATACGTGGGGTGCCTTCTGTCCTACACACCAAGTAGAGGCAAGCTGCTATGACATGGGTCATCTTCCTCCCACGGGTTAAGTGCTTGCTCACCGCCATCTTGAAGAAGTTGAAGGCGGTATCAAGGCAATGCTGATTGAGCTGAAGTTGGTTTCCCAAATGATGGATCTGCCGTTTTCCTTTTTAGAAAAAGAAAAGAAAGTACATATCACTTGCAAAGTGCACTTACATAATACACTGGTCTGCATGGATGCTCTACACAAAATAAAAGACAGAGGCTTGGCTTCTATTGTGCCAAACCACACACATCAAACGGAGTAGTGCAAATGGTTTGACACTTACTCCACTCACACAACGAGGCATCCAGGAAATCACTGTGCAAATATAAGCGCCTGTGTCTAAATTAGGACTGCCATTTGAAAAATAAGCTGGTAAGTTTTCCACTTCACTGGTGTCCAATTGTCTATCACAGGTATGGGCAAACTCTGGCCATCCAGGTGTTTTGGACTTCAACTCCCACAATTCCTAACAGCCGAATTGTGAGAGTTGAAGTCCAAAACACCTGGACAACCAGAGTTTGCCCATGTCTGATCTATCAGCTAGGAATTGTGACCCTCCAGATGTTTTTGGATTGCAACTCTCTCCTGCCTTGTCTGATTGGGGCTGTTGGGAGTTGCAATCAATAAACATTTGAAAAGCCATCTCTGTGCTTTAAATTAAGTCGGCCCCCAAGAGATGTGAAGTTAAAAACTCACTAAAGACTGAAACAGTAGCAATGTTTTCATCTGAACAGAATGACTATTCTGAAGACATGAACAATATCTCACTCCCCAGTGTATGGATGCATGCTCCAAAATGTCAAACGCAACATCAACTCAGGAGCAAACTGCAGGTTTTTCAAAATCCACTAAAAATCTGCTAAAGCACTTTCCTACACTCATAAACACATACACATATATGTATATACAGGGCCTCTAACCACATGAGAAAAAACCACAACTGAAGGAATCCAGCTGTTGGAAGACATGTGCTCTTTGCACTAGTCTGTCCTGAGGAAGCACTTCCTTCCTGTGCTTCTGTTTGGAGGGAAGAGGGTTGGCAGATCATACAGATTAGACTGTGGTTTCAAGAAGATGGCTGCACCTCTTTGCTTTGTTTGAAGTCCTTTAGAAGAGGATACGGTACAGCTGTTGATGAAGTTGTGGAAATTGCAGCACAGGCCCACCATGCCAATAAATATTTTGGCCGCAGGAAACTGAGAAGAGCACACAAGACCAAACATGGGGAAAGTGCTTACAGAAGAATGGGATAAGACAAGGATGGTATTTATTGACAAGCCAATAAATAGATATAGATATAGCATGTAAGGAAGATGTTTATACCATGTGTTATTACAGAAGACAGCCAGTAACCTAAAGTTTCATAGGGACCCTTGAATGCATTAACATTTCCATGTGGGAAGAGAAATTTGTCATGTGGCTTGTTTCAGCTTTATTATAATGACAACACCAGGCTTGCAATGAAAAAGAAAAATGCTGGGACCATTACATGCATCACTTGGTGCGTCTTGTACAACCAAAGCATCACTAACAGAGTAGTAAGGAAGTGCTGTCCAATTAAAAATATCAATTACCATGGCTAGTAAATACAGGCAGTCCCCAAGTTACAAACAAGATAGGTTCGGTAGGTTTGTTCCTAAGTTGAATGTGTATGTACAGTAAATTGGAGCAAATACATTTCAAGTGTAGCTTTGGGTAACATAGGGAAGGGTGAACACCCTTGTGGTGTTTGTTTTCCTGACTCTGCCCCTGTTCAGAAGATTTCGCCTCACTTTCTGTCCCTGTGAGAATTGCATTTGGAAAGATGTGACTTATTGTGGAAAGAAGGTTTGGTGGAGACACCTTTTCCCCATGATAACTCTTTCAAGAGGGAACTTCTCTTCCTAGGCCTGGGATTCTCACTTCCTGTTGTCTTGCCGCTGCTCTTAACTATAAGTCTTTTGTAAAGACAGATGTTTGTAACTCGGGGATCGCCTGTGCTATGATCACCCACTTTAAAAAGCCCTTTTAATCTTTTCTACTCCAGCTCCCATAATCTATTAAGTACTGGTCATTATGGTTGAGGATCTAGAAGCAATCGTTCTCCTTCCGCTATGTTTTACATTCTATATGAAATGCGCCAAACATCAGTGTAGCATGTTTAATATTAACCAAAACTATGTGTAATCAAACATATGAAGCAACGTCATATATTGAATCACAACATAGGACTATCTGGTTTCAGGAATTACTTCATTGTCTGACGGCAGCTCTCCAGGTTTCTCTTCGACCGGCCTGCACAACTTGCAGCCTTCTAGGTGTTTTGGACTTTAGCTCCCAGAATTCCTGGCCACTGAAAAAGCTAGCTTGAGTTTCTGGGAGTTGGAGGCCAAAACATCTGGAGCTGTGTAGGCCTGTCTTAGTGAGATGGGTCAAATGTCATAAAACTGATGAAAACATCAACTCCACTTAGGAATTAGCATGCAACTTGCATGCAGGTAACATTCGTGTATGTATCTTTGCCTAGAAGTGATGGGAGGCTTCAAAGAACTTCCCTGTAGAAAGGAATTCTACACACCATAAGGATACATACTTGATGCCTGTGCTACACTCTACGTGCGAGATGCATTCAGATTCTGATACAGAAGTACCTTTCTAGAACCAATTTTGTAATGCTTAATAAAATCTTCATTTTTCTTAGGTTTGGAGAAATGAGAAATACTGTAATTTAGCACTCAAGATAATGAAATGTCATTCCCTTCTGTCTGGGACTACATGTAAAGCGGTGTGATTTTCCTGTATTTGGGGAGGTTTAGATTGTGCGCTTGTACTGAGAGCCCAATTAGGGAAGAATGAAAGCATATATGTCTCCAGGATCATTTTTTTTAAAAATCCTAGCCTGTTAGATATTGAAATACAAAAACTAAAAACTAATAACTGTGGTCCACTGGTGAAAAAGCCAGTCATTCAGCTCCTATGCTGTGGAATTTCCTTCCAACTAACTCCCTACTAACTCTCCACCAAGAGTTGAAGATCTTTTTTATTAGGCAGGTCTTTTTGCAAATGATAAGCTGCTCAGCAAGAAGCTAATAAAGAAAGTTTATAACTTTCCTCATCTCTATGCTATTAATTCAATTTCATTTGAATACAGTCATGTCATCGTATCCACAAATTCAACCATCCACGCTTGAATATATTCCAAAAAACAAACCTTGATTTTGATATTTTTATAAAAGGGGGCATTTTATTATGCCATTACACATGTATATAATGAAGCTTGTGCATCCATAGATTATATTTTGATTGTGTTTGAACATTGTGACATTTCTGCTTTTTTCCCATCTGTTTTTATAAAGTTAATTTTTCTCTGTGCTACTTCGAGCCTCCACTTTAAGAGAAAGACAAAGTACAAATCATTTTTCATTAAGGCTTGAAGGATATCAAACCAAATCAGTGGTTTAAAGATTCATGGGTTAAATAATATCGGGGACATCAGAATCCTGCTGCATCAGTCAAGGTTTTCCCATCAGCTGTGCTGGTTGATGACATAACTAGTTGGCACCAGGTTGCAGAAGAATGCTATACAGTAATAAGAATATCTTTCCTGAAATACTAGTCCTTATGTAAACAAAATGGCACCGATCATGCAAAAAGGGTATACTAAGGGCCGCGATGTAGTCCTAATGTTTTCGCAAGCACAAAAAAAGTGTTCAGAAAAATTAGTACAGGGAGAAAATTCAGTAAGCAGTGCATGTGATGCAACTTGTAGAAAGAAAGGAGGGAAATCTGAGTGAAGAAAATGATGTTTTTTCCCTGTGTCCCTCCTATGTAAAAGATGTTGGGACCATTGGAATATGCATAGGCCTTCATCCCTCACCCAATGAAGCCCTACGAGCCTCATCCTTGACTTCCCATCTAGAGCCTTAAATCTCCTTGTCAAGGACCCTATTACATATCTATAAAGGGAACGGCCTACTATATCTGAAATGCACAATTAACTCCCCTTTGCTTTGCCCTCTGTAGCTTTAAGCAGACCTCTTTCCCAATCCCAAAACCCTATGGGGGCTGCACCAACTTCTATGCTTATTTTTACTATAAACAATAGCAAAGGTCCAAAATCCAGGCTGCACAGCATAAATCTCCATCAGGAGTTTTACACATTAATTGTATTGAATGGCAACACTGCTAAACTAAAGAAAGGTACTAAATGTACAGCAAGTTTGAATTTACATTGGGGTTATGTTACTGAACTCACTGAGCAAATTGAGACTGATGTTTATGGGGAGAGTGCATTCCATAGGGAATCGTTAATGATTAGGGGAATGAGGGGAACTGAAGAATATTTACATAAAAATATGTGTTCCCACAAAGCTCTAGGAAGTACATTTTAAAGTAAGATGCATTGCAGGATCCCCTGACACACCTTTGTCAAATTAAAAAATAGTAAGCATTTGAACTAAAACAGGACTCAGGAAGAATATGAACTAAAACCATTTTTGTCCTTGACAGGGGTGAAACTCAACCCCTCAAATTTTGCTTATAATTTCTTTTTTGTTTTGATTTTTTAAAATTTTCAGTTTCATCAAAAACAGTGAAATAATTCTACAGCAGCGCTGTAGAATTTGAAGAGGCACAAATGGAGGATGAAAGAGAGAAATGTGCCAAGAGGAAGGCGCGTCAAGTCAATCCTGACCGAGATCGCTTTCCGCCTGGAAACCGATGCCCTCACTACAGGAGAACATGCAGGTCAAGAATAGGGCTCCACAGTCATCCATGGACCCACCGCCAGTACACTGAACTTGGAGGACAATCATACTTGGACAATGAGGGATCACCTAAGTAAGTAAGTAAGACACTCCATATATTCACCCAGTTTTTCTGTGAAGAGTACTGACTCTATCCATAGGTGGAACCAATGTTCACAAGACTTGTGTCTAAACTGGCTCCATGCAACACACAATTAGCTCCACCACACTGTACCTTGCCCTCAACAACTTAATTGTGAGTCCTCTTCCCACTCCTTACTTATTTTGGCTCATGAAAGAAGCACATAAGCTTCATGCGCACTGTGCAGCTTCTCAAGGAAATCAACTGATTTGTCTATAATTAGCCCATAGCTTTGTTGTATTCTATACTGGTTA